GCTTATGCCCAAATAAATCTGTTAGTCTTTAAGGTGCCACCAGACTCCTTGTTATACTGTGGAACTTATTTATAAATCTTTTAAACTTTCTGATTTCCTGAGTTTTCTAATTGACAAAGCAAATTTATTCAGTCCTACTTTAGGTCAACTTGTGAAGAGAGTAGCTTCCCATTAACCAAGAGAGTTATAAAAATGTAAAGTTTGGATTTTTTGTTCATTGTTCAATTACTCTTCTTCAAAATTAACTCATTAGACTCTTATATCAAATTGGCGTTTTTCTTTAAAGTAGTACTGTGCTGTAACCAGGTCCGAAGAAGAGAAGAAGAAAAAAGATCCATGCCCAAACATCAAGGGACTTAAGAAAAATATGCCTAAAATAACAATATTAAATCTTCATATACACAACGATTTTATAGTTTTAAGCAGAAAAGTTATATTTTGCACAACTTAAGTATTATGCTTAGAAACTAAGTTATTGTATATATTCATCAATTTTTAAAAGTGGCCAGCATAAGACACTCCAGATTCTTTATGTAGCACTATGTTGTCATAGACCATTAGAATTAAATGTTACAGGAGGAGTTGGTAGAAAATGCAAAGCATGTTTAATATAATGAGATATTATAAAAGCTTGCATTAATATAGGATACTTCAGAAGTTTCATAAGAAGTTAATAGGTGTAAGGCTATTGTCATGGTCTATAGTTTTGCACACATATATATTAACCAAACATGTACATGATTTCTGTACATTACCAGGGTGGCCTAAAGAAGGAATTACCAAAATAAGCCTATTAAGATTATGCTATTCTGAATACTCACAATGGCAGTTTCTAACTCATTGCTTTCTATAGCCATATGTGACACAGCATAGTGCAATATAAATTATAAATACAATTCTGTTTGGAAGACCAAGTCTGTTAGTGCCACTTTCTTACCTTTTGATTTTCTTGTGTTTCACTAGTAACATCACTATTCAATTCAGTAGGTTTCTCAGGTTTCATTTCATTGATTGATGCTGGGCTTGAAAACCTGTTGCAAAAATTTGTTATTTCTTTTAAGTATGGATGACATTAAACAACTTTAGTTAGTTGCCCAATATGCATATTTTCCAAATGCACAATATTTGACATATTTCTTTTCATATAATTTTAAAATGCTCCAATTAATTTCTTATACATACTATTGGAGAAATCACATTATTTCACAGCACAAATCTTATCTTGATTCAATGGTTTATGTATGCCTGAACTATTGGCAAACAAAGCCCAAACCTTCTCTACAGTTAACAAGCTAGATATAGTTTATTTTCTACCTTGGGAAAAAATTATCTAGAATTTAGGACATAATTTAGTTAGTAGACTACTGAAAAATGGGTTGAAGTTCCCACTGTCTCTTGCATAAACTTTACTGTTAGGTTAAAATCTATTTGGTTCAGGCTCTTATCCCACACTCATCATTGCAGTATTTGAGGACCAAATTCTTCTGAAAAATTATACAATCTCCAATGTTCACATTTTCATAGTGAATAACCTCTGGGAAGATTTCCTCTATTACCCTAGTTTATGCTGTACTGATTACATCAAGTATTTGTGCCTAATATTGCCCTTTTCTTGGACTATTTGAAACACTTTTTTTTGTCTTGTACAGAATCTGGACCATTCGATTGGTATTGCTTTATGATTTTGGCCTTGGGTTCAGGTGTGTTGACTTCGCCACACCATCCCCAACCCTAGTGCACTTCCCCACATAAAAACAAATCAATAATCATCATCAAAAATCCAACTTTATGCTGGAAAGCGAATTTCACATTGGAATATGTACTTCAGATTTCTTTTTGTTAAACTGTACCACTTGAAAATTTGAGCATATAAAGCCAGTAAGATATTCTCTCTCAATAATATTACAAGCACTCTATTTAGGAGAGCAAAGCAAGATCTATAGGGTTTTAACTTCCACTTCTTAGTGGACTGCCTGACATGATGTAAAGAGGCATGGACCAAAGAAGTAGGCCTCATCAGTAAGAAGAAAGGCACCCGGATTCATCAAAATAAAGTCTGTGCCAAACTGGGATTGCTATGTACTTCTAAAACTCAAAAGCCCTGTTTCCTTTACGATTATTATTTTTATTATTTCAAATAGTATTCTATACCACAGATCTCTGCAGTGTCTGCCTGCTCTAAACAGGCAAAACATCAGTTGGAAGGCACTTAAGCCCTGCCCTGCAAGTAACAGCTCTCATCTGCTTCCCTGCTTCCTCCAGATGCAGAACCATGGATCTGTGGACCTTGATATGAAGGTGAAATAAAATTCCAATCTGGCGCAAAACCTGACAGTATATAGTGTCACTGAGGTGACACTGATAAAGGTCTACCCTAATTTGTGCCAAATGCAAAAAATTATTTAGAAGTATTTTGAAAATAAAATAAAGCAAATAGTAAGACTAACACGATGGAAGTGAAAAGAGCACATTAAACAAATGAAAACTCGGGTTATATTATGAATCTTTGGAAATACATAACAGTGTGAGCTATATTTTTCATACCTGGATTTCAAAACATGTAAATAAAACTCAAGCAGTAGTGAGAGACTGCTAAGGTAGCATGCAAGAATTAATATTACTGACAGTGTACTTTTGCAGCCACTGTCAAGATAAATTATGAGCAACGGATTAAGCAGAATTCTAAGAAAAATTATATTTGAAAATTACAAGCGAGGAACTGTGATATCTGACTTTTTTTATTTGTACTAATTGAAAACGTCTCTTCTGTAACTTACTTCTTTGTTAAGTCCGCAGAAAGTGGTCGCGACTTGAGTGATCTGCGTAGATTTCCAGGCTTAACATCTGTATTTTCTGTTGTCAGTTCTCTGATTCTCTGTTGGATGTTCACATTTCTGTTTTCCCTCTCAGTGGCTGCCAGGAGAGGCTCGGTATCCATTGGAGTAGTGCTGCTTTCTGAGCCAGCAAACAAACGGATGTGTTTTTTAACGCTCCCCCTCAAGGTCTTGTTTTCTTTTTTGAGGAATCTGCAGAATTTTCACTGGCTAAAACTCTGGAAGTTTCCTTTTGATCCAATATTTCCACCTCTTCAATTGTTTTGCTTTTGTTATTAGCCATCTCCTTGTTTTTTTCTGATCCATGTAAGTTAGTTACAATGTCCATTTTTTTCTCATTTTGTTCATCTTTAGATTTCTGTTTAGTTTCCCAAGGGTATTTTTTATCTTTTGCAGAGATCTGTATCAAGTCTTTTGTATAATTTGGGCTGGATGAGTCTAAATCTTTTGGAAAGACTTTCTGGTTTTGCTCACTAGATTTGTTTTTAACATCAAGAAAGTCAGTGTCCTGATTGTTACATTTCAAATTTGATTTAGAGGGATCACCTTTATTCAATTCTATTTCTTCAGCTTTAGACCTCATTTCAGACTGTTCTTGATAGCCTATATCAGTGAAGTGAATTACTGGTACATTCTCCTTAATCTCATCAGATGGACAAGTTTTCTTGCACAGAGAAAGGTCTTTATTTTCAAATTTGGCAGTTAGATCCATGGACAAAGGCCTTGGTTTTCTAACCCATGATTTCTCTGTAGGAGATTTTTCTTCGGAGACTTCCAAATTGCTACGCTTTTGATCTTTTAACGATTCCAGAAAAACAGCAGATACTGGTCTATGTTTTAGCTTTCGTTGCACTTCAGTTAATAAGCCAACTTCGCTGTTGGCATATTTTGCAACATCGTTGGTTCTCTCACCTATAGGATCTTCACATGTGTCTTTTTTTTCCATCAGACTGGTGAGGATTCCAGGAGACTGGTCTGGGGTCTGATGAAAAAGATATTTGCCTATGCAGACCACCTTCAGGTTTTCTGGAAGTCACTGATGGCGGAGATATCATCTCAGGCTTTGCATTACCTTGCCACTCTTTTGTCTGTATAGTGCCAAGTGTTCTGTGCTCATCAACAGATATTTTACCTTGTGTTAAATTTACCTTGGATTTCTCAGTGCTAGCTGTTTCAAAAAGAATCACAGTATTTCTACTGGGACTGGAATAAAAGGCCACATTTGTGACTAATTCATTGTTGCCTTTACTTTCATTTTCAATTAGTTTTTGATCTACTAATAGAGGGACATCTCCACTTAACACCTTATCAGATGTCGTTTCTTCAGTAGGCTGTCCATACACAGAAAACTTGGGGACAAAATTACTTGGTTTGAGAGCAGTAACAGGAGGTTTCACATTCGCAAAAGTATCTGAAGGTTTCTCCTTAGAAAATGGCTTTGGAGAAAGCCTTGGCCTTGATCCAGGAGTAGGCATAGTTGCTGGTCTCCAAGTGCTCCCAAATTTGTTTTTTTCTTCAAGAATTATTGGTGCCGAAGGATTAGAAGGTTGACCAGCCTTATTACTTGCATCCAAAAGAGGGTTGATGTATGTGCGTTGTGTTTTATCCTCACTTGTAATTTCATTTAAGTCAGGTATTGTTGTTAAGGATGCTAGAGCAGAGTTGATCTCTACTCTTGTTGCCATAGCTATAGTTAAACATCCAACAGAACTGGAAAAATCCAATCAGGAAGAACAAGCTATAAAAAAAAAGCAAACGTAAGTGTTAATATATGTAGTCAGCATGGACAGCAAAGTAGAAATTCACTCAAATTCTAGTTTAGAATTATAAATAGAATAATAATTTTAAATAGAATTTTAAATTTGAAATATTAAATATGTTAGAATTTTAAATTTTAATTTCTAAATATTTGGGCACGTCAGCTATCTAGTTTACAGTATGCATCATACAAATCAAATGAACTGCTTCCAGACAGTAGGGAGAATGTAATGTAATTGATATCCTAAAAATCAGAGAACATAGTGCTAATCCTAATAGGGCAGCCAGACAGCACTACAGATTCCAGTAAATTAAGTAAATTTCTTCAAGTGTTGAAATATTAAATTAACATCAGGAAACGTGATTGAAAAGGAACTGCATTCCAAGATCACAGCCTCAGCCCTTATTTTCTTAAGTCTTCTGATGGGTTAGAATGGAAATGAATATTTAACATAGAGAAAAGATAGCGAGCACAAGAGTGAACAGATTCTTAAAATTTTATTTGGCTGTTACTAGTTAAGAGAACTGACAAAATATATGAAGTAAATGTTTTCTACATCAAAGCCCGCAAGTTTTGATAGAACTTACCCTAGTTTGCATTGTCTGCTTATTGATATGTAACTGAAGAAGCATGTAAACTGAAACACTTTTCATTCTGAAGAGTAGTTTCCTTAGATCTCATGAAGTACATGGACATATAATCACTTCAGTGATCTGTACTACACCTGACCTGTGAATAAACAGAGGGCATTCAGAATCTAGGGTGGCAGAGCATATACTGTGCAAGTATATATACTGTACATTCAGGGCAGGTCTACACTACACAGTTAGGTTCATGTAAGGAAGCTTACGTCAACCTAATTATGTCAGTGTCTACACTACAGCCTTCCTCCAGTTGATGTATGGCCTGGTCTACACAGGGGAGGAGGGGGGAATCGATCTAAGTTACGCAACTTCAGCTACGTGAATAATGTAGCTGAAGTCGACGTACTTAGATCTACTTACCACGGTGTCTTCACTGCGGTAAGTCGACGGCTGACGCTCTCTCGTCAACTCCACCTGAGCCTCCTGCCCTGGTGGAGTATTGGAGTCGACAGGAGAGCACTCGGCAGTCGATTTATCACGTCTAGACTAGACGCAATAAATCGACCCCCGCTGGCTCAATCGCTGCCCGTCGATCCAGCGGGTAATGTAGACAAGCCCTAAGTGCCCTCCTACATCAACATATCATCTCCACCTCCATGAGAGGCATAAGGCTTATGTCCGTGTAGTTAGGGCAACGCAGTGTCTGCGTAGACACGGTGTTACTTACATCCTGTCTTGTCAATTTCACGGCAGGCTCCTGCCCTGAAATTGACAAGAAAGTTGGGAATCCAAGCCCAGCTGCACCCCACTCTCCTGGAGAGCTGAGCAGCTGGACCCTCCTCCCGGCTGGGAGCTGGGGCAAGAAACCTGAGCAGCAGGACCCCGCTCCTAGCTGGAAGCCAGGGTGAGAAGCCCTGGTGGTCCCTCCACCCCACCTCCACCGCATGGTCTCCGCTGGGAACCAGGCAGCCTTGTCAATTTCACAGCTCCCGGCTCCCGGTGGGGAACGGGGAGGCGAGAAGCCCCGAGCAGCTTCCCCCCAATTTCCAGTGGGGAACAGGGAGACGAGAAGCCCAGGGTGGGGAATGGGGAGCGGAGGGAGGGGGAGCGTGTGGCACAGCAGTCTCCTCATAGGGAGCTGCCAGCAGAGCTCTCAGCTTCTCACGCTCTCAGCTTCCCACACTGCCCCTCTTGGTCGGCGGAAGCGCTCCTGGTGAGGATGTGCACTTCCGACCAAAGGAGAGTAGTGTGGACATGCACCATCAGCAGGGCCGGCTCCAGGGTTTGTGCCGCCCCAAGCAGCGCAAAAAAAAAAAGCCGCGATCGCAACCTGCAGCGGCAATTCGGCGGAAGGTCCTTCGCTCCAAGCGGGAGTGAGGGACCGTCCGCCGAATTGCCGCCGAATAGCTGGACATGCCGCCCCTCTCCGGAGTGGCCGCCCCAAGCACCTGGTTGGCAAGCTGGTGCCTGGAGCCGGCCCTGACCATCAGTAATTACTGCAGTGGCTGTAAGTCAGCTAATGTAGGTCAACTTACATCTCTAGTGTAGACATACCCTCAGTCAAAAACTTCAGCTTTCCAATTTAACAAGCTGACTTCTGGTTAAATACACAAAGCAACGAGATTCAATTTTCCAATTTATTTAAAATAATTTGTTGATTTCAATAACTGAAGTTGCAAATTACAGAAAACAGAACGTAAAAAGCAAGAATATTTTATTTTATCGTCAATATTTTAAAACTTTAAGTATATGGCAACTGACAACATGGCGTACAGGGAATTAAAATCAACAAAGATGGCTGTGCATCAGGGAGAAACACAAACAACTGTCACACAGAATGGCCCCCCAAAGATTGAACTCAAAACCCTGGGTCGTTGATTTCACAGAGGGAGGGGGAAGCAAATGAATACAGAACAAATCTGGTCCATCTATTTTTTACATCTTAAGCTGGCAGCAGACTGGTAGCCTTCATCGGCTATCTGGGTGCTGGCAGACGTGGGGCTGCATTGCTATACAGTAGCAGCCCCTTGCCTTTTGGCAGTAGATGGTGTACGACAACTGCTAGCCATCATCGTCAAGAGGGTTCAATAGGACTGCCGGCAGGACTGAGTCTCCTGGAGACAAAGCATGTCTGCCCAGGTGCCTCTGATCGAACTGGAATACGATGATGACGGATACCAGTCATAATACACCATCTACTGCCAAAAGGCAAGGGGCTGCCGCTGTGTAGCAATGCAGCCCCACGTCTGCCAGCACCCAGATAGTCGAAGGCTACCAGTCATACTGCACCGTCTACTGCCAAAAGGCAATTAGCTGCTGCTGTGTAGCAATGCAGCCCCACGTCTGCCAGCACCCAGATGACATATGGTGACGGTGAGCTGAGCTGAGTGGGCTCCATGCTTGCCGTGGTATGTCGTCTGCACAGGTAACCCAGGTAAAAAGGCGCGAATCAATTGTCTGCCGTTGCTCTGAAGGGGGAGGGGCCTGATGACATGTACCCAGAACCCCCCGCGACACTGTTTTGCATGATCAGGCATTGGGATCTCAACCCAGAATTCCAATGGGCGGCGGAGACTGCGGGAACTGTGGGATAGCTACCCACAGTGCAACGCTCCGGAAGTCAATGCTAGCCTCGGTACTGTGGACATGGTCTGCCGACTTAATGCACTTAGAGCATTTTATGTGGGGACACACACAATCGACTGTATAAAACCGGCTTCTATAAATTCAACCTAATTTTGTAGTGTAGACATACCCTCAGTCTGCAGACAATTTGAAACAATGAGAGAGCTGTGAACTCTTCTACCCCCATTAACTTCATTTGAGTGTTAACTCAAAAATCCAATAACAACACTTGAAATGACAGCATTACTCATTTCATCACGCACCAGTACTGTGGATGAAGGGGGATAAGGAGGGAGTTGCTGCAGGAAGAAAAGAGGACACATGCAAAGAGACAGGGACAAGAAAAAAAGCAAGGTTGTGAAGGAAGGGAAATACAGGGCTGAAATAGCACTGGTCCTAATGGAGAAAACATTTTCTCACTATGTAATGGTGAATATGGCAAAGTGCAGAACAGGTAATAAATAATGACAGCTTAAAGTTTAGTTAGTACATCAAGTCCATATTCTACCCTTGATCTGTAGCAATCCTTCACATTGATATCAGTGAGATTCTGAGATAATCTCCTTTAAGAAGAACCTGATCTCTCTCGTATAAAATGACAGCACATTCAGCCACTACTTGATAAGTTTGATACCTAGCACTTCATAAAAGAACCAAGATAGCACACAGAAAGGAAAAAAGTAGAGAGAACTAGAAAATAAAATATATCCAGTTTTAAATCGTGTCCCAAAAATCCAATTAGTACCTATATCCAGCACTTCCTACTATTCCAAACATGTCTTCAGCTCTCAGCCAAATTAGTTTACTCCGTTAACTTTGGCAGTTTGTTTCCTATTCCAACCAGCTTGTGTATGAGGAAATTCTGCCTAAACTATTTATATACTATGCTAGTCCCTTCCTCAAGTTGAGTCCATGACCTCTTGCTTTCAAAATAGTAACTCTCTCAAGCAGCTTATCAGAATCAATCTGTTCCTTTCAGGATCGTACAGATCTCAGTGAAATCATCCGTGTTCTTTTTTCTAACGAACACAATCCAAGTCTGACTAATATGTCTCCAACATGTAAATATTGAAAAAATTATGTGAAGAGCAATAAAATTATTTAAAGTCAATTTAGTGGTAATAATTTCCTAAATAAGGGTGAACTTGAAAAAGAATATTCCAAGTGTGACATTAAAAGGTCTTTTTACAGTGCTCTCTCTCAATTTGATAGTTTGATGTATACTGAATTGCATATATAATACACTGGGTATTTTATTTGGGAGTGAGGATGGTTACTGCTTCTTAAAAGGACTAGTACCTTATCCTCACCAGAACACATGGAGAAGTGGATTGGCAGGGAACACACATGCAGAACATAGTGCTCATGATTATTGTTTAGGTCTATTTCCTGGCCAACATTCTTACACTGTGATTTCGCTCCGCTGATTATTTTTGTTCTCTTTATGCTGAAGAACATGATCTTTGTGTAAGCCAATAAACCTAATCTAGCCAAGTCAATTTCCAGGGCTTGACATTCTTATTACTCAGATGGGATACTTGGCTTAGTACAAAAAAAATTTAGAAAAAAATGAGAAACAGCTGCTGAAAAAGGCACGTATGCTTAGAAGCAACATGATCAACAGCTGTTTATCAGGCATGTGATTTTTTTTAATAAAAATTGCTATACATGTAAACAGGAGATTCTTACTGGAGTTTATTTCTTAATTTTGAAATATCTTACTTGGTTCGCAAGGCTTTATTGCCCTCCATTAACTATACAGCTCTCCAC